TAATTAGTGCAGGTAGAAACAGTCACAATTCCCAAGAAATATCAGTCATGAACTTGATATCATCTGCAAACAATCTACCAAGTTCCCAAGATTAGGACCCAATATCTTTGGAGAACCACCATTCAGCCCACCACAGATAAGATCATAAAAATGGCATTTTAATTAATTTATGTAGACATAGAAAATATAAATAGGGAGAGAAATGAAGAAAACTAAAATGTCAATTAGTCCAAAAATTACTAAGCCAACAATTCACAAATAAATTCTTTAAAAACTTTAAGAAATAAATAATTTCCATGTGTTATTAACTGTTGTAAAGCATGAAAAAATAATTCTGATTCATTAAGGCAGAATCTCATATAATCAATATCTGATAAAACCTACCTGTTAAATAATGTCACTTGTGATTATTATAATCATTTTCTTAAGTAAAATCTTAAGAGGCAAAAACAGTGACTTCTGGAAATATCATACCCAGATAAAGATTATCAGGTGAGCAAAGATTGTTAATTGCATATGAAAAATATATTATGGCATTGCAACTCTTATCTAAAAGTTCAAAGTCTAACAAAGCTTTGAAAACCAAAATTTTCTTAGTGTCTTTGGTAGAAATATAAGCCGAACTGACCTCCTCTTTGTAATGCCAATTTATCTTTCCCTGAGTCAATATTCATATGTACAGTGCAGAAATACTTATGTGAAATTTAAGTACAGCATACTGTTTCTGATCCTTTTAGATTTGTTAAATAATTTATAATATATGCATGGTATAATCCTTCTAAAATCCACAAAATGTTGAATACTAAAACACAACTTTTCCCAAGAGCTCCATCTTTAGAATTATGGAATTTAATTTACAGTATCTATAAACCAAAGAGAAAAATAATATGAATCTCAAAATCATAATCAGTATATTTCAATAATGATAACAGCTAGCATTTATTTTCTTGCTTTCTCCATGCTAGGCACAGTTCTATTTCCAGATATTAGCATTATATCTAAAAATCAAGGATTATTAGTATTATTCTTATTTTAAGATAGGTAAATGGGAGCGTTGAAAGTCTAAGCAGACTTTTCAAGGTCAAATATTCAGTAAAGTATAGAGCTATCTCTTGAATCCAGTCAATTTAATATACATCATTGAAACAGAAAATGAACATTAGTAGGTATATCACATAAGAAGAAATAAAAATGTATATATAGCATATGATAAGATGGTGGTTATTACTTTGTCAAAACTTATCAAATTACACACTTAAATTGGTGAGTTTTTTTTGTATTAATAATAGCTCAAAAAGAAATCTTTAATGAAATACTCAATGTGCTAGGCACAGTGACACACAATTGTAATCCCAGCAGCTAGGGAATCTGAGGCAGGAGAATGGCAAGTTCCAAGCCAGCCTCAGCAAAAGCGAGGTACTAAGCATCTCAGTAAGACACTGTCTCTAAATAAACTACAAAATATGGCTGGGGATGTGGCTCAGAGGTTGAGTGCCCCAGAGTTCAATCCCTGGTTACCCCTTTCAAAAAAAAAAAAAACCCTCAATAAATAGAGGACCATTTCAGTTTTGAAACATTTTAGAAAGTTACAATTTTAGGGGGATAAAAAGCTTGCATACAGGGAAAAATTGGAATTTATCTCCCCATAATCAAGGAAGAGCTGAATCATTTCAACAACAAAAACTCATATAATATTCAAGAATTAATTTTAAATTCTCCAGTTGTATTTTGGAATAACCTCTTTGATGGTATGTATTTGTAAATTTATATTGTATCCTAAAATGGTATGAAATTAGAAAACTTAATTGGTACAATTATCTAATATTCTAACATTAAAACAATGTATTTGCAAGTTTTGTGAACATACTTGTGAAAGTTTCTTTAAACAGAATAAAAGAGAATACCCATGGAAAAATTTGGTGAAATATATTTCACATTTTAATAAAGTCTTTAGAATTGATAATATTCTGTCACTGTATGCTCAAATATATCAGCACTTACAGAATAGTCTCTCAATTTAAAACATATAATCCACAGAAAATTAACATTTACTACAAATTAATATCCTAAAATGGAACCTTGAAGATTTATGGCAATTTTATCCCATATAAGAAGAAAACAATTTTCAAAAGAGCAAAAACACTTGGGATAGATATGATTAAAAAGCTGATTCTTTTATATGTGAATATTTGTATGTATTGATTCATATGTAAGAATATCTTTTAAAATTACTCTGAAATTTTCTGCTTAAATAACGTGAGTTTATGTTTTGCTTTTTAAAAATTGTTACTTCTTAGATGTGATTTTAAAAAATTTAAAATTATTAATAGTTTCAGGAAATAGTAAAACCAATTTAAGTGTCAGTAAACATATTTGAAAATTATGTTGTTTAAGCATGTTTTAGCACCTCCTTTTGCATTCCAGAAAATTCTTGTTTGTTTATAAAATAAGTGAGCATCTGCCTTAAAAATCACTGTTCCAGTCATGATATAGAATAATCTCATTTAGTCTCCACCAAGGTAGTTATAAGGTATATTATTTTCTCTTCAAGGTAAGAAAGCACTGACTCTCCATGAATAAACAGTTTGCTCAAAGATGCAAGGCTTAGAGTAGGAAAGTCTAACTGAATTCAGTGTCATTTTAGGAAGTGGAAGTAATGCTGATTTAGTTTCTGTTCCCTGAAAGCTATACCACATAGAGACAGGAAGGGCACAATTTATTTAAAAATGTCATATTTATTCTTTCTTATTTGGTTTCTGGATAGAGAATCCTAAGTATCCCTGAAATATGACTGTTCAGTAAGTTTACAGCATTTGGCAGAACTCTTTGAAGCCCCTTGGAGTAATGCCAAAGTGACAAGGTCCCTTGTGACTTTGAATTCTCATCCAAATGAACACCTGCTGTCATTATTCCTATCAATTCTATAGTCAGCAAAGCCAGCACTCTCTTTGTGGTGGAACCCATTCAACATGGAAAAGGCCTGCCAGTGTTTCACACTAGTTTTTATTTTGCCCTCTTTTTTACTGAATGAATGATCTATTGCCTGAGTGTCTTGGATTTAGAGCCAATATTAAGTTCATCTCTGGTTATTTGGTGTCCTAATGGTCCATATTAGTGTACTCCATTGTAAGTCTAGTCTAGTTCTTTTTATATGTCTCCCCTTGTCTCTACTCCTCTCTCCCTTTCTCTGTCCTGTTTATGTTGCTATAGAAAGAATGAATTTTTATTATTATTGCAAAAAATATACACTTGTAAAGAAAATTATACTACATAATCCATTTGTAAAAATTTGTTTCTCCAAGTTAGCAGAAACAAATAATTCAAACAAGAGAAAATTCAATGATATTCTTCCTATGGGTAACCAATATTGATCATTCATTTTCAGTCTTTGATTCATATTACTGTGCTTTTGTTTAAGTGATCTGCTGATGCATACATTTAATTAGAAGGCATTCCAAATTGATTTTGCACCAGAGTAGGGATAAAGTTTTTTTTTTTAAATTAATGAATGATCATGCCACATATATATTACAAGTAGCTCAGTTCAGATTTTTCTACAATTTCATACCACATTAAGATAACTTCATAATCTATAATATGATTATGACTTAGAATTATAAAGAGAAATTCTTTGACTAGGTTTGAGAGCTATTGGATCAATAAACATGAGCCATGTTTTCATATTTCTACTTCCTAGCAAACCAGGAACTTGACCATGTTTTTTTTTTTTTTTTTTAACAAAGTTGTATGTTGAAAAACTAAACCATAGAGAAATTTTGGGGTGACTTTTAAAGGTGTTATTTCTATACTCATCTGCCTATATCCATGAGTCCTTTCATTTATGGATTAATTAAAACATTTGACAATTTTTAGAAAATAAAATGTTTATTCAGAAAAAAAATGATTATTAGCCCTTTCTTACAGGGATAAGCAACTCTCTGCCATCTGCATTGGGCATTGGTCCCTCTCTTGTTGGGCCTCATGCTTTACTATGCATGAGTAAGCACATGAGCCTTTTCATTTCATTCATGAGATTTTTAATCCTTGACTAGTGTTTTCAAGATTCTCTTAAATACACAACTTCTTTATTCCTTTGTGTTGGATCTTTTTCTTTAACTTCACTATGAGACAAATTAACATTTAATCACAACAATAGCTCTTTTCTGTTGAGATGACTGGTAAATATATTAGTTTCTCATTTGAGTGATTAATCATGTGGATGAAGAATGGGAAAATATCTCACTTGATATAATAGGTTTAACTCATTAATGTCAGAATGGACCTTTGAAAAGTTTGAATCACAATATCCCACCAACCTCACACATTCCTTGTAAATTTTATTAAAAAAAAACCCTCAGGATTTCTTGATAGTAAAAAACACCCATTGGGGTTCAGAACTGTTACACTTAGGGTTTCAGAGATGAGTTATACCTGTCACCAGTTCTCCAGAAATAAGTCTTTCTCTTTGTTGCTTTTTACCATTAAGCAAAATGGTTCAGAAAACTTCTTGTGGTCTGAAAGTTATTAATTACACACCAAGGACTTGACTTTGAAGTCAAGTATTACAGTTGCCTCTACTAGACCAGCACCCTCATACTATCTTTCTACCTACTCAAAGAAGTAGGAGCTTTTCTACCATCATTTTCCCAATTAGGCTGTCCTTTTAACTGTTCTTTATCAATACTTTCAACTACTATTTGAGATTTATGATTTTATGTGCTATCTTAAACATACTGTGAGTCTGGTACCAAAATTAGATATTTTAAAGGAGATATATAAAACAAATAGAAATCAACTCCTAGATGTAAAGATGAACAGTAACCAATCATGACATGACACCATAAATCACACTTGTTCAGGTTTGACATGGATTATATGTCAATTTTAGAACATCTTGACAAAACTAATTTGAATTTAAAATATTGGTCATTTTTAATTTATACTTCTGTAGGATAATAGGATTATAAACTATTCTGTTTTTTCCCCATTTCTCCCTTTAGGATGCCTCCATTGCACACAGATTCCACATCATGAGAGAGAAACACCCAGAGAAATTCAATAGTAGGTAAGGTAACAAATGATGAAATTACAATTATGGTAATCAAATTGTGTCACAATAAATGATCTCTTTGTTAAAAACCTTTTATATATAATGGTTAAATGAGGTTCAGTGTATGTGTAACTATTACGATGAAAGTATAAATTAGTTGAATTTTTCTTTTTAGGTTTAATTCCACACTTATATGCTATAAATGTTGACAGTAATAATTTATTAAGGTAAGACATTCATGTAACCTTTACATGGCTTAGTATGTGAATGGTGATCATCTTTAATCCCAAGCAAAAGTCCAAAGGTATGTTAAAAATCTTCTAGTCTTTGGACTCTTGGTTCCATGTAGGCCTCAATTAAATGCAAAATAACAGCAACGTCAATACCAGTATAAATTGTTTTAAAGAGTTTTTGCTCACAGAGGAAAGCCTTGACATAAAATAAGTTTTCTCATAATACCAATTGGCAAACATTTTCCCTTTCAAAATTTAGACAATAAATATCTGTAGTTACTCAAAGGAGTAGAGAAATCATTGGCTCTGTATTGGCTCCATGCTAGAGGAAATATGTCTCTCTTAACTTCACTCTCCTAGAAAATGAGGCAGAAAAAGTAAAGTGTCTTCTACTTCAGGTTACATTCATTTAGACTCTATTCATTTCATAAAGTTACAAAATGATAAGCAGTATTTCTGTATAAATACTTGAGTGATTTTATACATTAATGTTCAAAACAAAAGGCTGTTTTCTCTGTACTTGGCGAAGCTGACAATTGGCCAAGAATATTCCACACAATTCATTAAATAACTGCCACCTGGAAATTCTTCTGTTTATTTCAAATTTGTCATACCCTAGTATATTAAAGTAATTTTTCCATGTAGATTAATAATAAATAAATGCTATTAAGACATACTTTCAAAATTATTTTAGACCTTTTTAAACTGTACACTTAAGCGTACTACTTTATATTATCCTAGTTAAAAAAAATTGTATGATTAGTGAAGTTGTATCAGAGGTTTCATTAAATTTACCTAAGTGTTTTATTAAAACAAATAAGTTTTTATTTCTTGTACTTTACCTTAGATACCATTTTGTTTGTTACCTTAGAAATCATAAATCATGAACTTATGGTTTTATTGTTATCTCAGAGTTCAAAAAGCTGTAATTTTTATTTTAAAGGCAATAGAAGAATTCATATATGGTTATTGATAAGTGCACATTATATCTTTAGAAGGATTCAGAAAAGTTTTGTAATTCTGGAGTGAGAGAAATGGAATTGGGGGTTATCAGAGGGAGACAATTGAAAACATAAAGAGATACATCAGTGCATTTATCTGATAATCAAATTTGATATTCTATATATAAGATTGCCAACATTGATGACCCTCCCTCATGTGTCATAAGTTAATGAGTTCCTTTCTGTGGAATAATTTTAATTCTTCTTAATAATAAAGACTCCATTTTTCACATATGTCCATTTCACTTTTTATTCTTAATAGCACTAATTTATAACATTCCTCACTGCCCAATATATGATTAGATGATATTTACAATAATGTGTTTGTATACCTCAATATTTTCATAGGATATAAATTTTACCTCATTGAAACTTCCTTGTAAATTTGACACATGAGTAAATCTTGCTTATAAATAGGTTACAGAGAATATTGAAATCAAAGACAGATAATGACTTCTATAATGATATACAGCGGCACATTCCATGGTGAGTTCAAAGAATGCCAGAGTTAGAGGTGTTGGACCATCCTTCTGTGGCACTATCAAGGCTGCTCTCCCTTCTGATCTGAAGTGGACCCCTGCACAGTCCTTGTGAATTGTTTAATTCAGGCTGAGATGGAGCAGCAAACCTGAGAGTGAGCCAGAAGTAGATGGTGCACCACTCCATCCATCTGTGGTCTTTCATTCTGAAGAGCTTGGACAATATATGTGAAAACATACTAGATATGGATGACATTGATGTGGTGAAACAATTTATGATATCTGGCCATCTCAGGCAATATCAAATAATTCATCAGCAAAGGCCAGCATACCTAGACCCCTGACCCACAGTAGACAGGTGCATGGTCCTCATGCTCCTAGTCCTTAGGTCAATAACCAATTCCTCTCATTTTGGCTTCTCTAACCAGATGCTTTCTGACTTTGATCAGCTCTTCATTTTGACATATATATAGACTTAGGTGAAACAAAGACTAAAATGTAGTATTGAAGCCTAAATGAAGCTCTGGTCTCAGTCTGGGAGCTCTCAAAACCCTCAAAAATTGCACTTAGGGCTGGAGTTGTGGCTCAGAGATAGAGCTCTCGCTTAGCATATATGATGCACTAGTTTCGATCCTCAGCACCACATAAAGTAAAATAAAGACATTGTGTCCACCTATAACTAAAAAAATAAATATTAAAAAGAAAGTTGTTTCCATATATTCACTAGTCAAAATAGTAATAAAAGAAAAAAAAAATGCCCTGAATGCCCTCACCTCTCTGGAGCCACCTGCTGTTGCCAGGGTTAGATAGATGGGAAGATAGAGCACAGTGGAGATTGGGAACTTTATTAAAAAGATCTTATTTCATGTAAATCCCAGGTTTAAACCTTTTAGTGACTCTTTTTCCTTACTACATAGAATCCAAGTTATTTGTATTGTTCTTATAGTTTCAAGATTCAGATTTTGTTCAAATATAGAATTTACCTCGTACTAGCCATGTAAACTTAGGAAAGGTCTTTGATCATTATGCCATGTTTCTGCTTCTGGAAAATGAGACAAAAAAAAAGTATTTGACTGTGCATGGGCTGCATCAAATTCCCAATAACTATGTGCCAAGTTTCTGCCTCTTCCTGCCATCTCCAGAGTTGGATGGAATGTCCCACCACAAGGCATTTGATCTCTGATTCCAAGTAATGGCTGGCAATCTAGAAGTATGGGGGCATACTCATGGGTAAAATTTGACTAATGGGAAATGGGAGATAGAGAGATAGGCAGATGAATTCTGCCTTCTTTAGTCTCTTTCATAAATTGCTACAAAGTATCTTTTCTACAATTAGTACATCCTCTGGAAAATCCTTCCGAGTACCCATTGGCATAACTCCTGTGCTTCTTCAGGTCTTTCATGAAGTAATTTCCAGCCTGGAAATGTATCACCTTATATTACCTCCCTTTATTCCCAGCCTTACTTATATTTTTAACTCCTAATGTCTTATATTTTCACTTGCCAAACAAAATATCAATACTTTGATCTTCTCTTAGTCACTGTTTTCTGGGTTACTTTGGGGTGGAGAGAGAGGAGGACATTAGACCGGAGTGGGGGTGGGAACTATAATCCTGCTTTAACCTCATCTCCTTTTTCCATTTAACCCAGGAATATTAATTAACAAATACTATATATTAAGAGGCCTGTCCTGCCCTACTGTCTCCACAAAAGGTTGAAGAGATAATGACTATCTTGGAAATTCAGTGTTATAGTATAGAACCTTATTTCTGGATTTGGTAGGACATTTAACTAATATGCAACCTAATAGAAAAGAAGGTAGCTTTTGTCATTTGGCAAGCTGGAATGCCATACAGGATCTATCTTCTCCAGAGGTGCATTTCTTCCAAGAGAGATGATGCCTTTTATACTCGTTGCCTAAACCCAGTCCAGTATTATGCTCTCCCAGGTAATAGCCACAGAAAGGTTAAATAGGATTGGTTCTTGTGCTCAAGGCACCATCTTGGTCTTGAGGCTGAGAGGTGCACATAGGACAAGTGACCACTGTGAAGAGGAGTTCCTAAAGAAGAAGTCAGAAAGGCTTTCTGGAGAAGGAAACCCATGAGCCCATTAAGAAAGTGTAACATTTGGTAACCACTCAAACATTAGAATAAACTGATCAGGTGAATGAAGAGTGAAGGATATTCCAGAAAGAGAGAACACTTGACCTGGCAACTGCTCAGATAGTCATCTGCAAGTTTATACTCATTCGACCAAGAATTTTTGAGCCCACAGTGCAAATAGCACCAGGACTATATTGACCAATTGTGAGGAGCACAGAGAAAACTAAAGGATGTGTCAAGGAAGAAAGACTTTTCAGGCATTGCCTGAGTCAAACCTGAAGGTCTCAAGGGTATCAGCCATTCATCCCATTTTTGAGCCTGTACCCTTAGTGTTGCCCTGTGCTGGACACTAAGGTCCAGTGGTTTGTAAATGAAGACACTCGACTTCTTCATGGAGCCAAAAGATGTTAGATAAAAATTCTGTATTTGTTCAGTACTGCCAAGGACAGATTGCAGACCTTGATAGGCTCAAATTTAATTCTCAGTCTCTGATCAAGCCTTGTGGCCTGGGATGTACCTTCCCCTTCCTTTGCATTTCCACCCCTTTCCCCATTTTTTATTGCCCCTTAGGTTGGTGCTGCTAGTGGTGTCAGTTTATCTGGGGAGGGTATCCAAATGTCCTCTACCTAACTTGAAGCCAAGTAGACATAATATAAAATAGAAGTAGTATGGACTTATTAGTGACCCAGTCACTAGCACTGGTGATTGTGACCCAATTAAAGGTCTGGGGAATGAACATCTCTTTTACTTCTGCTTCAACACCAGGTCCCCTCCATGGAACAAGCCATTATAGGTTAAATGAGCCATGGCTGGTCTCCATCCTTACCTAGCTCTGCAGGTAGGGTCAGCAGGTGAGATTGCTTGTTGTTGGGTAGCAGAGTGAGAGGTTTGGTTGGTGACTCACTACTTTTGTTGAGGAAACCAGAGCAGGGAAGAACCAGACTAGGCAAGTGTGTGAGATATGCACTAGAATGGTGGCAAAATAGGTTTCTGCACTGTGAAGGTCACAATCTACTGGAGGAGGAAAATTATTACACAAAAGTGCTATAAGGCCTAATATTATGAACTTGCTATCCTAAGGCAAGGGGATTAGGAAGGCATTTCATTCCTACCTCTAAAATAAGTCTACACTGCTTATTTAATATATGTGCATTTGTAAAAAAATTAGCAGTTGGTTTTGTATAGTTTTGAACTTAAGTT